GTAGATAGATAGACAGATTGATAGATAGATAGATATATAGATAGATAGATTGATAGATAGATAGATTGATAGATTGATTGATAGATAGATTGATTGATAGATAAATAGATAGATAGACTGATATATAGATAGATAGATGGATATGGATTGACATTGGTCAGCGAGTGCAATAACCAATATAAAGCAGACCCTCTGACCAAACCGATTTTGCAAAATTGCACTGAAAAAATAAAAGTTGAGAAAAAAAATATAGATCTAAGTTGTAAAGGTCTACTTGCGGTGCAAAGAGTTGAATAATAATTTATGATTCACCCAAAAGGTGGTGCCTAGTTAAACTGGATTAGAATTCAGTGCATCAATTTCAAGTGCTAATTCCAAGATCAGGAACAAAACAGTGCAGCAAATTCTAAAATTAATATTAGAGTGTGTTAATGGAAAGATGAAATATAAAGCAAAACCCCCAACCGAATGCTGTTTTTTTTCTAGTTAATTTTTTTTTCTCAAATAATATTGTACCCTGTGGTGGTGGTGGAGGAGGTGGTTTCGGTTTGACCTCCTCCTCTTCTTCCTCAAAAGCTTCGTTGTCCTCTCCAGATTTTCCACGTTTTTTCTTAGGTTTGACAGGCTTGTCTTTTCCTTTTCCTTTCCCTACAATATTCAGAACAGCAGGAATAACATAATATTTAACCAAGCATCCCAAAGTGAAGGGGCCACAACTCATTCGTCAACTCTTGTTGACCCTTGTTGAGTTTTGGGGGTTTTTTTCAACGGTATAACTGAAGGAGACCTTTTTGAATATGAGCAAGCAAAGAAAGTATTTGTCTTTTCAGGTGATAAATAAAGCTGTCTAGATTAACAATACATTTATTTTAGTTCCTCACATACAACAGATTAGATTAGAGTTGTAATTTCATAGCTCATGCAATCACTGCGTTCTGAGAGTGAGAGACAATTGCAGGAGGTGCAATACTGATAACACCAATGTGAAACGTCGATAGAATCAGGAAAGGGGGAACAAAATCGTACTAACATCAAACGAACAAACAAAGAAGAAACATATTTATGAGATTTCAGTAGAAATACTTGGAAGAAGAAGACGAAGAAGAAGAAGAAGAAGAAGAAGAAGAAGAAGAAGAAGAAGAAGAAGAAGA